TCTCATATCACCCACATCCCTAGACTGCTAGCCACCTTAAAGATCCTACCCTGAGCAGCATCTTATACAGTACCACCCAGTAAATCCCTAGACTGCTAGCTACTGTACCATAGTACTCCCACCCTGTGCAGCATCTCATACAGTATCACCCACATCCCTGGACTGCTAGCTACCATAAGATGCCACCCTGTGCAGCCTCTCATACAGTATCACGCACATCCCTAGGCTGATAGCCACCACAAGGTTTTTCACTCTGCAAACTCTCATTACAGACATTCCTGATTTGAAATTTATGCAAGGGGGGCTGAAGTGTCTCCCTCTTTTTGGCTCTGGAGCTAGAATGTAGGTAAGAATAGCCCCGGAAAAAATGGCCCCGGAAAAAATGGCCCCAGAAAAAATGGCCCCGGAAAAAATGGCCCTGGAAAAAATGGCCCCATAAGACAGGTAGGTAAAAATGGCCCCAATGAAAAATTCGGTAATAGAAATGATATATTTTTTTTTAAATCTTCAAATATTTTAATACTGTATAAGCAAGAATTGAATCAAGAAATAAAAAATGGCCCTCAGTTATAAAATTCTAGAAAAAAAAATTAATAATAAATAAATAAATAAATGCTGTAAAATACCCTGTAGTGAAAATTTAATTAATAAATCAACATAAAGAATATACATATTTGAGAACTAAAATAAATTAGTTTTTAGCTCCTATGAATAGCTCTGGGAGTAGGTCTAAGTATTTTTTAAAATTATTATTATTAGATATTATTACTATATTTGCGGTCAATTATTAATATTATTATTATTATTAATGGCTCTGATGGGAGGCTCTAAAACATTGATTCGGCACCAGTTTTGAACGACGAACTTGCAGGGAATGTTATAAACCATTTTCGTGAAATTTGAAATAAAATTTTCTAATAACGTGGCGACTACCAACTATGGGGACTTTCAGAAGCCTAGCATTTCGCAGTACGTATTACTGTCATGGATAACATCAATAATAAATCTAAATTGCTAATGAGCACAAACATTTTAAATCGGAAAAAACATGAAATGTTTATATTGAAAACAAGTCCAAGTATTTAATTTTTTTAAAGAATTGGAACCTCTGGATGGCCAGAAATGACACTCTCAAGACTGTGACAGGCATGTCACATTTTTATTTTTTTATTCCGACGACCGTCCTGATGTGGTTTGGGATGTATGTAATTTTGTAATCTAATACACTGTGATTGTGTAAGTGACAACTAAGTACAATTCAATTGGTCAATTTAAAAAAAAA